GGCGTTCCCGAAGTAGTAAAGATAGAGCTTAGAAAAAAAAACATCAGAGGATTTGTTCCAATGTGATCTTGCGATCGATATTAGTTGTTATGTTGTTGGGTCAATAATTGACCTCATTATGCCGGGACAAATGTCAATGTTCCCAGAAAATTGCCGTTATTTTGGCTTCACAACACTATACATACCAGACCGTACCTCATGACGACACAGAGCCTAGACTAGCATAATTGTATGTTGTATGATTTCATTAATATAACAATGTCGGCCCGCCGCTCGCGTTCGGCTGCATCGCCGAGCGTCGCCTGCCGCCCGCGCCGGCTGGAGATCGCCGTGCAAAGTCCCTCAAAAACCGTCACGGTTCTTGTGGCCGCTGAAAGAAATTCAATGTCCAAAAAAGATAGGAAAACGTTTTTGATGTCAAAACACGTGGCACAAATGTCCCATAGGCTACTAAAAATATGGGCGGTACGATTGCCAGACATACGGGAGGAGCAATCTCAAAAACCTTAGAGGGGGAGGAGTGGGAGGGGGGGGGGGCACATCGGCTCCCCACCCTATCAGGACGAGGGTTCATCTTCAATAGAATTCACTCTTTGTATCAAGTTTGCTTACGTTCGCCGAAAACCATCTCTCACATGTACGCTCTCTTCCCCCCCCCCCCCCCCCGATTTACGAAGCTTAACCTCGGGCGGCACGTCGACGACCAGATGGCAGCTCCACAAACGACCAGACCCATGGACATCGCGGAAGTTAGCCGAGCAAGGCCCCCACCCCTCCTCCCCATCTCGCCCCTCTCGTCCCGCGCTGAGCAGCCCGCGCGTCTCGCTGCTCCTCACCCCCCCCCCCTTCCTCAGGTGGAGACCATCGGAGACGCGTACATGGTGGTGGGCGGCATACCGAGCCGCGTGCCCGACCACGCCACGCGTGTGGTCAGCCAGGCCATCGATATGGTGCGGCTGGCCCAGGAGGTGGCCCATCCGATCACGGGAGCGCCGGTCCAGGTCAGTCAGGCGGCGTCCGCGGACAGGAGCACGAGCAGGGGTCAGTGGGGTCGTCGGCCGCCGTAGCCATGTGTTGGGATACAATGTTCGTTCGGACCAGCTTATTATTTAACTGAAATCACCGAAGCTCACAAAGTTCGCAACCAACAGCGGAAATGTCCGTATTTCACGTCTGGTTTTCGGGCACCAAAGGATCTCACAAGCCTCCGCGTGTGCCCGTGACCTGTGCGGCCGTTGACCTCGGTTCGGTGCGGCGCGACAGATCCGGGTCGGCATCCACACAGGTCCGGCCGTGGCCGGCGTGGTGGGTCAGAAGATGCCCCGCTACTGCCTGTTCGGCGACACGGTCAACGTCGCCAGCCGGATGGAGTCGCACGGCGTACCCGGCCGCATCCACCTCAGCGCCGACTGCAAACGGTGAGCAACCGAGGCAGGCCAGTGTCCGGGACCGGCGCGGCCAGGGGCGCGTCCAGGGAGACGCAAACCAGGGATGTGCCCGGCCCGGAGGAACGCTGGCTCTCGCTGCTCTGGTCCATGTCGGATTAGCATGATAAAGGGAGGTTGAACGTGGGCAATTTATTTCCGGCGATGGTACTCTGCCATGTGATTTAATGTTACGGTGACATGATCGGGGCTTTATGATATTCCTCGTCGTGTTTTGCCTTCAACACATTTTATCTGGGGAAATAAATGTAGGTATGTATGGCTTTAACCGGTTGCATATCCGACGTGGCATATCATGTTGCACAAAAAACGCCCACTGCTTACCTAAACCTGTATATATGACCAGTATATCATGACCAGACCAGTAACCCTGACCAGTATCATGCTATCATACCCCACTAGTATATCCGTATTTGAAAATAGTAAATCCTGGTAAATCGAGGTTCGATTACTGTCAGCATAAACACTCCCAAATGCTATTGTCGAAAGCCAGGAACCTAATGCCTTTCTTGTTTATAGGAAGATACAAAAGTCGAATCGGTTAAGGGACTCGGTTAAGGGGTTCGGTTAATGGAGCACATACGCACCCCGCGCTGCAACAAGCTGCGCGCGCTATCGGGCTCTGATGACATCCGTCATTTATCGACAATACTGCACCGAAGTGCAAGCTCGCGTAACGATGAAGGGGCTAGGCAGGCCCGTGCCTGGGTCTCTGCGTTGGTGCGAGCACAAAATACCACAGCCAAAGGCCAGGCCACACCGGCACACGCGCGTGCGCATCTTTATTTGTTCGGTGTCAGACGATGGTCGGCGCGTGGAGGGACGCTGAGCGGGCTACACTAGCACCAGCACATCGCTGTTCACTGGCGTCACATGGCATCACGGCAAAAATCCTTAGGAGAATCCGAAAACGCGGCTGTTCTGTTGCGGAAGGGCTTACGAAATGTCACCTGATTTTTTAATGACTTCAAAATTCGGAGTCGTCACAGTCGACACGATCGATTCGAATCGACCAACGCCGAGACACGTTGCGTGAACTTCAGTTGTGTGTCCGTTTGTTGGAGCATGATAAGTGGACCGGGGCGGCGGGTGACCCCGAGAAGACCGCGGAGTTAGCCGAACAGCCGAGGTGGCGCCACCGTCGCGTCCGTGCGTCGGCGCTGGTGCTGGTGTCCCTCGCCTAGCTGGACTCCTGCCAATCGAGTGCTACGCCGGCGCTAGTGCCAGCGAGCGTGAACACGACTAGAGACTCATGTAAGCGAAAAATCTTGGATGGAATGCTCAAGATGACTGTTAAAATTCGCGATAAGCAAACGCTCCTGGTGAGCATTGATACCGTGATGAGTGGAAGCCCCTAACATACTGGAAGACTTGTAACGAGAAATGGTGGCGACGTGGCATGCCGTGTACGTCAAGGCGTAGAGGTCCACAGGCAGAACAGCACGGGATGGCTTGTGAGGTTGCTTAGGATGTGCTATTGAACTCAATTAGGTATAACTTCCACTGCGTGCACATTGCCCTTTTTCCCCTTTTTGGAACCGATCGGAAGTTATGAAAATGACTTCTCATATCATGTATAGTGCTGGAAAATGCTGGAAAGGCTCCGTTGGTCAGACCGCTGAGGAGCGCATCTTTAATGATGATATGTTCAATAAAGTGTTACACATTTGTATTGGGTTTAACTGAAATAGTCATTTTGAAGATCAATCTGTGCGGTTTACAGCCCTGCCCTTCTTAATACCTAAGCCCCTGTAGTTGCTGGGCTACACGCCTGCAAAGATGTGCAGGCTCTTTCGGGAGATTATTTCAAGGTCACCCAGGTATCGATGACGACATAATAATGACATTCAAATCATGTCATGCCATTCACCATTCCGCGATCAAGGCCGAGAAAAATAGAATTGTCGAGTCGATCATATCTGGCGTCCGTGAGCACGATTTCTACTTTTAGATATAACGGCAATCAGTTCGCTCTCAATAAATGTTATGCAGGGTATGATCAAGTACTTAAGCGATGACATATTGAGGAGGATATTGACTGAACAGAGATATTATGGTGTTTAGAGCAGTTTTTCAACTGAAAAGTATACCAACGGTTATAAGTGAGCTTTATCCATCATATCTCATACTTGTTTCAATATCTCCAAATATGGAATATCCCCTTTAGAGCTGAGAAAATCTGCAGGAATCCTCATATACCCGTCTTCACGTTTTGCATACCAAAGTAGCAAGTCGTGATTAGGTCGCATGTGACGCGAATTGAGCCAACACAAATCGCGTGTTGGCATATGATGATCGATTGCAATGAGAACGCGCTACTCAAAACATTCCCGACCAGCGGAATCCTGGCGAGCCTGGCTTCAGCGTATGAGGCTAGCCCAACATGCCGTCAACATCGACAGAGCCTCACCGACAGTGTGGCGGCGAACGCGATGCCTCGTGAAAAAGACAGACTTCAGCGCGCTTCTGGAGACCGCCGACGTGACGTAAAGTAGTGCCACGGACATTTCCTACAAGTTTTCTCACCTGAAGTGCAGGTAAAAGTAGTCGATTTGCAAGTATTCTGGCAGCCAGGCAGCCGCAATCGTGTCTCGTCGGCGATAAGGTCGGCTCCACCGGGCACGCGAGCACTTATAAGGGGACGCGCGACGTGATCTGAAGAGGCGACGGTCAACCAGCGCCAAAATTAGCTCTCACTGGTGATACCAGCTTATTGAGTCATAAAATAACTCTCATTTGACAGAGCCCCGACGTCAGCCTGAGTTTCTGAGGTCCGATGCAGCGCCCGTCCACCTCTCCATAGCCAGTTAAAACCTGCCTACCGTTTTAAAATGCGATTCACTGCAGGCACAGGCACTCGGCCGAGCCGACATTGTGGCCGACGAGACACGTTTGCAGTCGCCCCCGGGCCACCTTACATACTTTTTGATCGATCAATTTTAACTGAATTTCAAGTGAGAAAACTTGTCAAAAATGTAAACGGCGCTATTTACGTGAGCCTTGGCGTGATCCCGGAAATAGTTTGTAAATCACAAACTTAAGGAGAGTGTGACTCATTTCAGGCCAATGCTGCTTCAATACGATTTCAAGAATACGAGGAGGGGAATAGGGAAGGTGCTGGAATCCCATGCTTCTACCAAAATCTTCTGTCCGTCACATTTCCCTTGAGACCCTCCCATCCGCATCTTGTCGCGCGGCCTCGACGACTTGCACAACTGCAGCTCGCTAGTTTCACTATGTACTTGCACAAAAAAAAACGTAGGAAAGTGAGGGCCCCAGCCGAACGCCGTGGCTCCAGAGCTACGTAGCGTTCCCCGTGCACCCAAGCGAGGTCCAAGAGTAGCGGTTCGCCCTGACCCGTGGTGCGCTGCGCTCGTGCGCGCGACTTGACAAGCCCGCCATCTGTTGGCAGCGGCCAGTAACTACTCGTCATCTCGCCGAGAGGGCCATACATTTTTGATGTATGACATCTCTGAAACCACGGAAAAGCGATGTGTGGCGGTGACGTGTGATTCATCGTGGCTGATGAGACATTCTTGCGTCTTTTGACGACCATGTCTGATCTTCCGTCTCCCTCTTCACAGAAAGCTGGACGAGGAGAGGGGTCCGTTCGCCGTGGAGCCACGAGGCGGCATTGAGATCAAGGGCAAAGGCCACATGGAAACCTTTTTCGTCGCCTCTGTGGGCAACTCGGAGGCCGGAGGCGACCCGGAGGGCGGCACGAGCGCCTCGAACGGCGCGGCCGGCGGCAGCGTCCGCCAGAAGGAGAGCAGCGTCTGCCGCCTCCAGTAGTGCTGGCTGCCGAGAGATGTACAGGCGCTGCGCCGGAAAACGAGAGGTGTACGATATCCCTGTGTATATAGAGGTGTACGATATCGCGCTGGCTATCGAGGGGTGTACAGGTGCCGCGCCGGATCTCGGCGGTGTACGTGCGCTGCGCCGGAGCGCGAGGGGTGTACGGACGCCGCGCCGGATCTCGAGGGGTGTACGGGCGCTGCGCCGGACCTCGAGGGGCGTACAGGCGCTGTGCCGGGTCTCCAGGGGTATACGGGCGCTGCGCCAGGTCTCAAGGGATGTACAGACGCTGCACTGGATCTCGAGGGGTGTACGGGCGCTGCGCCGGATCTCGAGGGGCGTACAGGCGCTGCGCCGGATCTCAAGGGGTGTACGGGCGCTGCGCCGGACCTCAAGAGGCGTACAGGCGCTGCGCCGGATCTCCAGGGGTATACAGGCGCTGCGCCAGATCTCGAGGGGTGTACAGACGCTGCGCCGGATCTCGAGGGGTGTACGAGCGCTGCGCCGGATCTCGAGGGGTGTGCAGGCGCTGCGTCGGTCGCGGCGGAGTGTCAGGGCGTCAGCGGCGGCGGTGGCCGACGACGAGACCGTCAAGGCGACGTGTGGGGAAAGTAACGGAGCGAAGACAAATGCAACCCAAACCGGTCAATTGGTGATTCAAATGAGCAACCACATCCGCTATGTGGTTTAGCCAGCGCGAGGCGCATCGGGGCGCCCGCGGTATGTGCTGTCTTGATTGGCGTTCTGGTTCAGGCAGCCTTAGCTTCAGGGCGCGCCAGAGGGTCGTGCATGTGCTGTGGTGCATGATGGAGGCCCAGGATTCCCACGGCACACAGACCGCCTGTGGTGATCAGCACGGCGCGGTGTGCACAGACCGCCTGTGGTGACCAGCACACCACATATCCGCCCGATGTGTGGTGTGCTGTGCACACCGTGCACACCGTGCACATCGGGCGGATGGACTCGGTGGACTCCGGCAGGCGGACTCCGGCAGGTGGACTCCGGCAGGTGGACTCCGGCAGGTGGACTCCGTCAGGTGGACTCCGGCAGGTGGACTCCGGCAGGCGGACTCCGGCAGGTGGACTCCGGCAGGTGGACTCCGGCAGGTGGACTTCGGCAGGTGGACTCCGGCAGGCGGACTCCGGCAGGTGGACTCCGGCAGGTGGACTCCGGCAGGTGGACTCCGGCAGGTGGACTCCGGCAGGTGGACTCCGTGAGGGAAAACACCACCGTGATGTGTCACGGCTTTCGAGACTTCGAAAGACATCGGGATCAATTACACGACTCAGTGGTGCACTTCATACCGTAACTGCTTTGGTGAGGTGATGGTGTGAAATGGTGGGATAGAGGTGAGCAAGATGGACGCACCGTGTTCACCGCGGATCGCTGCGGTTTGTCGCAGCGGTTGTGAACATTCGCTGTTAGAAACTGGATTCAGGTTGCTTAGCTCATGCTCTGAAAGTCAGTCATCATTGACATCATTTGCACGGTTTGCTTAGAGTATAAATGAACGTTTCTGTTGTTAGGGAATATCCTGTGTACCCTAGTGGAAATAGCTTCGGAGGCGAACAAAATAAATGACAACAACTGGAGTGGATTGTTTGATTGCGGCACATTGCTTGCGGCACATTGCTTGAGAACCTATATACGACCCGATGTGCTCCAGAGCCTTCGATCTCAAGTCGCATGGGATCGCTCCCTGTTTGCTGGTGCATGAAAGGATACATCCACTTTTGGTGAGATAAGCTCTCATGAAGGCACTAATACAGGACGCGACCTCAGCACACCACGCAGACTCATGTCGCTTTCCCGAAACAGTTTCTTCATTTGGGCACCAAATGTGATAGAGCGGACGGTCTTCAGCTTCTTTGGAACATGCTTATGGAGTTCGATGCCCGTTTCTACGCAAAACTGGGCCACGAGCGCCGCAAACATGCACATATCAGGGAAATAATAAGGGAGCTAGGACGACTGCTCCGGGAGCTGAATGCATCAGGCCTAGGATCAGGTCTAGAGCTGTGTATTCACATAATCAAAGTTCATGGAAGTGGTAAGCGCGGTCAAGCAGCTGACCGGTGTAAAGGAGGGTAAATATCATAATCCATTGCTTGCTCTCAAGCTTCAGTAAATGCGCGGGCACAAGGAAAACGAGCGGGATCGCCGACGAAAGCGCCACCAGGATGGCGACTTCCTCCTGCTCTGCCAACGAAATTGGAAGCTGCACGTGCCTTCTCGCGCCTACGACTCTTCACAAAAGGAAATGGAACAAGCCCGTTGAGCTCGCCCTCAATGCGGATGTTCAGTGTTACGAAGGAGGTGTAGAGTGAGTTGGTGCAGGCTCAGCGGGTGTTGGAAAAGGAACGCTTCATCACGAACTATGTCAAGGTGTCGGAAGCTGCGCTGGCATCCATCATTTTGTGTAACCGGCAGAGGCCGGGAAAAGCGTCAAGGCTTACCGTCAGATCATACACTGAAGGCGACCAAACTGTCAATGAGGACATCTTGCAGCACCGTCTCCCTTAGAGCGAGAGCTATGTCATTCGCTGGGACATGTAGTGTTTCGAGGCAAAAGAGGAAGCGACGTGCCCATCATGCTGACAGCCACGATGCGAGGGGCGCTTGACCAGGTGATCGCAGCGGGGGAGGATGCTGGGATCCCTCGCGACTGTCCGCACATTTTCGTCAACAGCGCAGCCCCAGATGCCAGCACGCTCAGAGGCAGCGACTGCGTACTGATATTCGCACGGAAGGCACGCGTAGATAACATCACGGCCATGAAGTACAGAAAGCATGTGGCTAGTGTGCTGCAGCTGCCGCAACTCAGCGAAACCGAGATGGATATCGTGGCTCGCTTTATGGGCCACGACACACGGGTTCACAGGCAGTTAGTTAGGTATTGAGTTTTAAGGACGCTTGAACTGCATGGGCTATTTGCACCCATATTCTTTTGGTAAGAGCCTATGTCAAGAGAACTATAATCAAAACTATGCCAGGAGATTGCCATCAATGTGTTATTCGCCCAGGCAACCGTCAGCTGCGTGTGGGAACCTAAAGCGTAGGAAACAAACCGTACAAGGGCTTTGTGGTCCACCTACCAATTGTATAAACGCTCGTCCACACGCACATTCCAGTGGCGTTCGAGGCGACGAAGGCAGCGCCGTGCCCAAAACGGCAGCCGACGAGGGCAGCAGATGGCTGGCGCGGGTGACGGCGGAGGCCGCCGATTGCTGGCGGTGATTCGGTGTTTTAAGGCGCGTCGGCGGCCGCGGATCACGGCAGCGTCGGAACACCGTCCACCCCACCTCTCCAGAATGTGGCAGCGGCACAGGGAGGTGGTTGGCAGCGTGGACGCTGCTGAACAGGCCGGTTTCGGGGAAGGAGGCAAGGGTTCCGGCTGGGCGCCAGCCACCTGCCCTGCCGCCACCACTGAGAGTCCGTAAGACCTCAGCAGCGAGATGGGCTGAAGAACTGACGTCTTGTCGACGGTAGTGGGCCATTGTGCTGAGCTTTTGGCTTTATCTGCACAGGACGTCCTGGGGAGATGTGCACGCTGGCTTATTGCGATAATGGGGTTTCGTGTGACCGAACCAATGGCATTGGAAACAACAAACGGACGGACTTTCACGCGGGCATAGCCCACACGGGTATCTGATGGTAAATCTGGACGACTGAAAGTGAGAATGATGTTGTTCGTAGCACTAAGTTCTCCTGCTCTCCTAACCAGGATTCTACGCGCGGCGGTTGCGTCGAACTCCGAAAGCTCCTCGACGATTCCGCTCCCACTTACATCACGAAGGTCAGAACAATTTACGACGCCTCTAGATTAGTTTTTTTGTGTTGTGTGGTGTTACTGTCAAACCTACGGTTTTCTCATGCTTCCCGTTCTCACCACGAATACTATAAATGAACTCCTTCGTTTCTAATGCACGCTTAGCCTGCGGACTACTGGCGAACTCTACCTCGATGCTGCCATCCCTCAGCTTGTCACATCTCGTGATGTCTCCGAACTTGCCACAGCCGTTGCGTCGTTGGAAAGGTGACAGGGTGGAAAGCTTTACATCTCCGTTGGAGAAGATCAGAATCCGAGGGCAAGGGGGGGGGGCAAATCCCCCTCGCACCCGGGCCTCAGCGCTGTCCGGCCTCCTTTCAGGGGCCAGGTGTTTGTTGAGTTTTAATGACCCATGCGATTTCTAGCAAGCATTCGGCACCGGGGTTCCCCACCCACCTCGGAGCCCAACTGGGGGACGGTCCAACTCTCCCTCGGGAGGTGGCAACCGCCAGGGCTGCCTCGGTGCCATACGGGGCGAACGACGCCTCCCGCACGGCCAGGTGTGACTGGAGAGGCCCCTCCCAGTCCTGACCGTGGTTCAGCGCCGCCGCCCCTTGACCCCTTAAGCCGCCGCGCGCGGTCAGGCACCACCAACGGAGAGCCGCACGGAACACCCAACCGCAGCGCGAGCGACAAGCCGCTGGACCCGTATGGGGCCCCACGGCCCCCCCCCCCCCCCCACCCCCCCCGGATATCCTGGCCAAAGTGGAGTGTTGGGACGCGCCGTGACCGACCCGCACGACGCGCCCTTCAACCAACAGGATCCGATCAACCCGGGGACGCGGACGAGGGGGCACGGCGACCCCGATGAAACAAGGATGAGGAGTGGTGATAGGGCCGGATGCGGGAAAGCGGGTAATGGGAAAGGAGCGGGTGGCGTAAGGAGCAGGAGCTCACGTACCGGCAGGGTCGCTACGCCCTGAGGGGAACAGGTTGCGCTGTCCATCCGTTGCCGGAGCTGGGACTCGAGGGGGCGCTAGTCCCCTACACCGACCGAAGCCGGTGCCCCTGCTGGCTGGCGTTAAGCTGCGTGTTTGAGTCATATTTTGATGGCATAAATAGTCCCAAAAACACATGCAACAACGTTAAAAACTTCCCACTCTGAAAAGGCCGACATGATCATCCAACAGCATAACAAGTAGCCTGCCGGTTTGAAGTAGCAAAATCC